GAGCCACCATGGGGCATCCTGAGCCACCACAGGGCTTCCTGAGCCACCACAGCCACACCAGCTCCGTGTCTCCTCCCCTGCTCAGCCCTCCCTCAACGACCCCCAGGCTCGGGGTCGGAACAGAGCCCCACAGAGCAACTCTCTGCAGCCCATCTCTGCAGCCAGGGCAGAGGGAGGGGAGAAGGGCTCGAGGCAAAAGGCAGCGAGGGCCGGGGGGAGCTGAGGGCTCCCTGGCAGCAGCTCCTGTGCCAGGATTCAGCCCACTGCCGAGTGCCTCGGGAGCCGGCGCCCAGCGCCCCTCTGGCTCCGAGCAGCAGATGGAGATTGTTGGACCCCCCATCACTCCAAGAATTAAAATCTTCCACCGAGAGCATTCACACCACCCCTCCCGTGGCAGCTGATGGCACGGCATCTATCAGTGGAGTCTGACAATTTTAGTCAACAAAATCCAGCTGGGCCATTCAAAAGGCAGCGATTCAATTATGTCATAGCCCCAACGGAGCCTTCCCACCAAGCTGGTGTCAGCTGCTCCTGCAAGAGGTGGAAGAGTGGAGTGTTGCACGGGGGGGGGAACAGGAGATGTGTGAAAGGGAGCAAAATAAAACAGCGTGGGAGGGAGAGAGCCTGAGTTTAAAACATCATCGACTGGAGGCTGGGAGATTAGCTGTGACTGCAGGACCACGAAAAGAAACTCGGATGGGAACTCTACCAAAGCTCCTCTCTAAAAGGTCAGGGCTGGTGTCGGTAGCTGAGGAAGAGAAAACCAGCCAGAGAGAAGGTTCTTCACCCACCTCAATGAAGAAGAGGGCGGCGTTGGAGGTGGGGTGGCTGTTGATGTAAATCCCAGCCAGGATGATCGCTGCGATCAGCAGCACCGCCAGCACGATGCCCACGATGGTGCCCGTGTGGATGGGGGTGCCCGCTCTCCTGGGGGGGAGGCTGCTTCCCACGCCTGCAAAACAGGGTCCTGGTGGGTCTGGAGCTGTGCTGAGACCTCGCTGAAGGCAAGGCCAGGGAGGAACAGCAAGGTGAGCCCCAGCAAAGGGGGGCAGATGCAGCAGAGAGTCCCCCTAGCTGCAGCATCCCTTCTGCATGGTAACAGTAGCTGGTGTGAAGGATTAAACCACCACCCTCTTCCAATCCATATCCTTTATATATTGGCTGCTCACTCGGATAAAAAGCCATTAGCCATATGCTGAGAGGATCTTCAGCATCCCACCCAGAGCCCTCCAGCCTGCCCTGGGTCCTTGGCTGTGAATGTGCCATGGCACAGAGCTGTGGAGGGGCCGTGTGGCATTTATGACCAGGGACACTCCCACCATTTGGGGAGCAGTTTGGCTAGAGCTGGGAACATCCTGCACCTCAAAGGCCCCATGCCTGCAAAGGGACTGCTCCTGTGCCCAGTTTAGCTGGTTTGACTTCCCTGAGCTGCCCCCAGGTAGGAGGGAAGGGCTCGTGGGCTGCATACAGCCCCAGATCCTGCAAATCTGACATCAGGCACAGAGGGCTCGGAGCCTTCCCATGCTCTGGAATGAGCAGGAACAGGATAGCAGCAGTTCAGTTCCCTGCCCACGGGGCTGATGAACAGACCCAGGCTGAGAGGGGATGGATGGGAACAGAGGTGGAAAAGGCAGAGCTGGGCTAAGGACACTTTATATTTGGGTTTTACGGCGCTCTTCAGCACACTGGGGGAATTCAGAAAGAAAAAAGGACTTTGTGTCTATGCAAAAACCACAAAGAAAAGGAATTACATGGCAAGGATCTGGGTTTTACGTCGCTCTTCAGCACGCTGGGGGAATTCAGAAAGAAAGAAGGGATTTTGTGGCTATGCAAAACCCACAAAGAAAAGGAATTACATGGCAAGAGAAAACTCATCACGTCCCTTTGCACAGCAGGACTAAGCAGGACGAGTGGACAAACAGCAACAGGGTAAAACAGAGTGGTCCTGACTCACTTTTCCCTGCCTGAAATGGTATTCATCAGGGTGAGGACAATAGGAGCCTTATCTGGACTCCATCCTGCCTCAGTCTCACCTGTGCCCCCAGCTGAGCACAGCTCCCTGGTGCCTGGATGTCAGCACCACGTGTGCTGGCTCGGGATGAGTGTGGGGAGGCAAGAGAGGATTAGGGGCTTACCTTCACCTCCTGCATACTGACTGAGCTTCGTGTCGTCTGAAAGAAGAAAACAAAGGCAAAAAAAAACAAAGTTAGGAGCCTCCTGGGACATTCTGCCTGCTTCCCAGCTGGTTTCACCCCTGGAAGAGGGACACTGACAGAACGTGCCTCTTGGACAGGGACCGTTTTAAACCTCAGAGTTTGGTGGGTGTCGTGTGGTTTATTGTCCTGCTTCACAAAGGTGGCACCTGGAGCACAAACACCTGAGGAAACCAGGCTTTAAATACGCTCAGTCCTCAAAGCAGAGCAATAAGTGAAGGCTGAATGGGGCCCCAGCCCTGGTGGGTGCCTGACTGGGGCATCGGGAGCCACCCGCTGCTGACAGATCCCAAACAAACCAGTGGGATCTTACCCCGTAGATGCCTTGAAGAACAGGATTAGCTTTTGAGCCCCCTGCACCTCGTTCTGGAAGCAGCAGGATCTCCACACCACCCTCCTTGGGAGCCCGGCTGCAATCCCAACCCAGAGACCCTGGAGCTGGGCTGCCCCTTGGCCAAGTGCAGCGCTGACCCTCAGCCACGTCCACAGGCACCCCCGGGAGCAGCTCCAGCGAGCTGGGCTGGCTGCAGGGGTGGGGCTGCTCCTCTGCTTCCCTTCTGCCTTCCCCGTGCTCCTCCAGACCAAGTCTGCTGCCTGATGCAGCTGGCTGTTTGTTTCCTTCCAAGATTACAAATGAGCTTCATGCTCGGCTGTGTCACCAAAAGCCTCTTCTTCCTTTTCCAGGAATCGCCGATGAGTTGGAAAATAATCTCAGCGGTGGTGTCCCACTCCCCCCCTCCTTTCACTGCTCCTTTCAAAGTCAACTCTGTCAGCCAGGCGCTCCCTTCCTCCCCCCAACCCCTTCCCACTGCTGAAGGACAATTACTAATGTTCCTTTCTATTTATTCTAATTAGCAGTTTGCGTTAGGGACTATTAAGCAGCCAAATTGAAGCGATACCTGCCGCTAGGGTGGGAGGAGCCAGCCCTGTCTTAATGGGATTAGCAAGCTTTAGAACATGGGTGTCCCCAGGGAAACTCTCCTGGTGTGGAGCTTTCCCCTGCTGGAATGACACCGTTCCTGAGCAGAGAGCAACCACAGCCTGTGCTGTGTCTGAGAACCCCAACAACCCTCAGCCACCAGCTAGGGCCAGGCACACTCAATGCACAAGCTTTAACCCCTGTGGGGTGTTGGGGAGCCCGTCCACCAGGGACTAGCTGCTTGTTGACCTCCACAATGCATGAAAAGGCTGCGATGGAGCTGTAAAACTCCTCCTGTTGGAGGGTTTCATCTCTCCCCTCTGGCTGCTCCTCCTTCTTTCCACGGCCTCCTCTTCCCACCCCTGCCCTGTGCTTCCAAGACAGGCTTGTCACTTTGTTTATTGGGCTATGAGTTGGCTTGTGAAGGCATCAGAGTGAAAGAGCTCTCCAGGGATAAGCACCAAGGGTTGTCCCTGCCCCAGCCCCTACCTTCCGTGGTGAGGCTGTCAACAAAGAGCGAGGACGTGGAGGTGGTGACATCCTCGTCCAGGAGTGAGAAAGAGCTGTCAGGAGGTGCTGAATAGTGGTTGTCTTCTGCTAAATCCTCACAGGTCTTCTCGTCTGACTGGAGAGAAAAGGGAGAACAGCTGCTTTGCCCAGCTCTGCTCCTGCCACCGTGGCAGGGAGCCAGGGGGGAGGACTGTGCTCCACAGGCTTAGGGCAACCAAGCCCTTGGGGTTCAAACACTGGGGTGGAAGCAAGGGACATGGTTCAGAGGGGCCAGAAGAAGTATGTGGGGTTGGGGGAGGTCACTTGGAGGTTGGAGACGAGGAAAAGTTTGGGAATCCTTTAGTAGGACAAGTGAAAATGCTCTGGAAAGGTCCTAATGTCACCTTCTTGCATCACTGGATGACCTTACACAGGTCCTGCAACCTCCTCTTGCCTCACTCAGCCCTCTTGGATAACAGGGAACAAAGCTGAGTTTTCAGTGGGGGGAAAAAAAAAGTAACAAGAAAAAACACAAAGCAGAAACAGATGTTCTGTTAGAGCTGATCTTCCTGAGACAAAGGAACTGGTTCATCCAACGTGGAGATAATTGTGCTAACAAGGACAAGAAAAAAAAAAACCAAACCCAAAAACCAACAAAACACAAGGGCTGATTTCTTCCTGCTGGAGTGTGAGTAAGAGTCATGCTGCAGAAGGTGAAGAAAAAAATACCACAGTGTGCCCAAATTGCACAATATTTGGTGACTTATGGAGGGAGGTCTGTGCACTTTTACTGAACATCCAGCATTGAGCAACACAGAGACAAGGCACAGCAAGGGGAACGCTGGGTTGGATGGACCATCTTTAACCTTTCCAACCCAGGAGCCTCCTCTGTGTCCTGCTGGCCTGGGAAGGGGACATCTAAAGGGGACTCAGCCTGTGCCAGGGCAGCCTGGCAGCTGAGCTGGGCAGGGTGACCATGCCCAGCAGAGGACCCAAGGGAAGGGATGCTCCCCTCAGCCTCACCTTCTGACCACAGCCATAGGACAGCCACTCCTCACGGTACCGGTCAAAGCCACTGGAGCACCTGCAGAGCAAAGCAGTGGGAGCATCAACCCGAGGCAGAGGAACTCCTGAGAGACAGGGCAGTGCCCACACTCCCTGTCGGGGGCATCAGGAGTGGTGGCCGAGCTGCCCGAGCCCCACGTGCTGCCCCGAGGGGTGCAGAGAGTGGGACAAACAAAGAGCTGAGGGCTGGAAAGATGATGCACGAGTTGGTCTCCAAAGACATGAGGTTTCCAGTGCAGCTGTGCTGGAAGGACCCAAATGTTCCTCTGCACAGAGGAGGAAAAGGGTCAGCAAGGCTTCTCCAAGGGAAACAGAGAAGCAGAGGGATAGGAAAAATATATAGACTGAGTATGAATTTCCATTCCCTGGACTCTGTGCCAGGGCAACACCATGATCTTCACGAGGCTTTGGGGCTTTTTTCCAGCAACATCTGCACAGGAAAAACACAGTAAAGAAATTATAAAACAGCATCAGGAAAACACCAGCTAGAGAAACCTCTGCAGAACCCGAGGGGCTGGAACAGCACTCTGACCTTTGCAGAGTCTCTGGGGTTGCCCAACTATGAATCAGGGGTTCAGCTCATACAAGCACTCATTTACCCAACGACCAACCACTAAAAGAGAAGCCACAAAGACCTTCAGGTCCTGCTGAGTCACTGAGATCTTTTACAGTTCCTGTAACAATTACAGGCTCAGCAAAAACAAACTCCACTGTCCAGAAGAGAGCTGGAATGGAGAGAGATGTTCAGACCCTGGGATCCAGCTTCTTTGGGAAGGATCACGTTGGCTTTGCAAAACCAGCCTGGTTGAAAGCCAGCGAGGTGGTGCTGGGCTTGCTCTGGCCTGTGGTTTCCACCACGCTTCTCATCTGTAACCTAAACTCTTGGGGCTGATGTGCAGCTCTGGCTGTGAGGAGCGTGGCTTTGAGCCAAGCCATGGAGAAGTCTCTGCACTATAAGTGATAAGAGCAATCAGCAACAGCGAGGTGGGCTCTGGAAGATGAAATCTGCACACACCGTGGGTTTGGGAAGAAGCAGAAGGATAAAGCTCCTGAACCCTGAGGTCTCAGCCCAAACAAGATCCAGGCGAAGCCACCGGTTTTGCTACCAAAGCCACATCTGGTTTCACGCATCTCTCTCAGCTGCAAGAACATCATATTCTCTGATCTGAAGCCACCGCTGAGCAACTTGTCAGGGAAAAATGATGTTCCCCTGGCTCGGGCTGTGTTCCAGCCCTCTGAGAGGCTGTAAATCAACCCTCATCTCCAGCATCACTTCACCGGCGTCTCGGGACCTTCCCCCGGCCCAGCTGCCCAGCTCACCCCTCGTGTGCAAGGCAGGGGTGTGCAAGCCCTGAGCATGGTGAGGGTGAAGGTGCCCTGCCAGTGATGCCCGGGCCCATGTGCCATCCTGGGGGAGCCAGGCACTTCCCAGGCTCTCCTGTCCCCGTGCCACCCGCCAGGATCTGTGTTTTTGGGTCCCCTCCCCTGCCACTAGCTCCAGATAAAGATTTCAGCACAATCTCATTAAGGTCCCTCCTGCTCCGTGTGGTGCTGTGGGAGCTGCAGGAGGGTGTGGAGCAGGACTGCAGCAGGGCCAGCCCTGGCCCCCATATCCCCCCTTCCCCCCCAAAAACCAGCAGCAGGTGCCCCCCACCCTTGCTGTGCCTTGTCCCCCACAGGGAGGGTTTGTCCCCCGCGGCTGATGCCATCTGTGCCCTGCCTGCAGATGCCAGCCTGTCCCACAGCCCTGCCCAGCTCAGGACAGGCTGCCCCGAGTTCCAGCTCACTGACAGAACTGTCACTCTCACTTCTGGTCTCAACTTGTCCCAGCTGCTGCACCAAACCCCAAACCAGCCTTGGGAAGCGTCTCCTTCCAGTGGCTTGTAACTGGAGATCAGCTCACCCTTGAGCCGTGGCTGTGAGACCAGGAGCAGCACCCTAACTACCCCAAAAAGCAACAAAATAAGGAAAACAGCAACAAAAAACCAGCAGCACTGATATACAGGCATCAGCCCTGGAGCTGCAGTTGCTCTCCGCACCAAACCCCAAACCAGCCTTGGGAAGCGTCTCCTTCCAGTGGCTTGTAACTGGAGATCAGCTCACCCTTGAGCCGTGGCTGTGAGACCAGGAGCAGCACCCTAACTACCCCAAAAAGCAACAAAATAAGGAAAACAGCAACAAAAAACCAGCAGCACTGATATACAGGCATCAGCCCTGGAGCTGCAGTTGCTCTCCCAGCTCTAGATAAAAATCCATCAGCACTGATATACAGGCGTCAGCCCTGGAGCTGCAGTTGCTCTCCCAGCTCTAGAAACATTAGCAAGAGAAGAGGTGGGAAGGAAACTCATCCAGCTACCTCTGCAGGACGTGACACCAGCTGCAGTTGAAGGTCAGCTCCGAGGTCACACACATTTCACAGCTCTGGTGCTGGAGACAAGCTGCAAAAGAGAGAGGAGAGACACCCCAGTGACACCCCAGCATCTGCAGGGGCACGGGGAGCATCTGGTGGCACGAGTGGAACCAGAGCATCAACAGAGGAGCCTCCAACCCAACCTCTCACTGCAATGGACCTGCAGCACTGCTCCAGCAGGAGGGGACTCACCTGTAAACACCCTCCCATCCTGTTGAGTTGGGAATTGAAACCCCCCGAGCCTTAGGCCAGTTCTGGCTGTACAGAGGCTGTTTCTCCGAAGCCATGGAACCTGTAACCCCCTGTTGCTACGTCCATACCTAGCTCTGCAGTAACACCTCCACCATCCTGAGCTCCCCCCGAGCAGAACGCCGTGTGGACCTCTGGAGAAGAGGCAGAGGATAGCCCAGTTCACCCAGTCCTGACCTGAATGAGGCTAAAAATTAACCCCCTAAATGAGAAAGTGGTGGCTGGTTCCCTCTGGCTCCTCTGAAGATGCTGCTCTCAGCTACACTGCCTGCTGGGGATAAACAACCCAGAGAGGCTTGGGGAGAAAAAAACAGAGTTATTGCTGAGTGCTTATTTATGATCTGCCTCACAGCAACCCTGCCTGCTGTCAAAATTGTCCTAAAACACCCCAGGGAGCCCACTGAAGTGCAACAACTCTGGTGTCTTCGTGGCAGATTCACTCCCTGCTCTATATTTAGGGGCTGCATGACGTTTTTCCCCACGTGCACACGTGGCCTTAGAGCCAAACTCTAAAAATGTGGCTCCAACAGGACCCTCAAGACATTTCATCGGGGTGTGGAGGGGGGGGAAAATGTCTGGGAGATGGACCTGAAGGGATGCAGCTAATTCACTGCAGCTT